AGAAAGGAGTATCACCGAAATTGTCTTCAGCATGGGAAGGACCCTATAGAGTAATCAAGAGGATCAATGATTTGGTTTATCGAGTCCAGCGCAACACCAGGAGTAAGATGAAAGTTGTACATCTGGACAGGTTGGCGAAATATCATGGGCGTGAAGTTGATCGGGACGATCAACCTTAAGAGGAGGGCAGTGTCACAATAAGCTAAACGTCCGCCAGGCTGTCAAGAATCGATCGCGGAAATACTAGAATCTAGCGAATTATTCTACTTTAATCTGGAAAATTAGATTATCGTGTGTATTCTAGATTTCACAGGAATAGATTTAGGGATATATAAGAAGGCCGGCATTGGTTTGTAAGTTAGTTTCAGTTCGACTGTGATACGATTTAAATAGTGATTGTAAAGAGTTTAATTGATGAGTTTGTTAATAAAGTAATTAGTGTCAGAGTGTTTTGTTAAGTGGAATAAATTATTGCTGTGTTAATTGGACTTTGATTTTTGGAATAAACGAAACGAACAACGAACCCAAGATTTTTGTCAGCAGGCAACCCAAAGCCGCGACAATATTTATATTATTTTTAATTAAGAGTTTTTCAACAAGATTAATAACGTCTTCAATAGGTATACTTGGAAAAAGATTGGTAACATCAAATGAAATAAATTTAGAGTTTTTTGGTAATGTAATATGTTTAATATTTTCTACTAGTTCATAAGTGTTTTTATAGAGTATTTAGCAGAAAATAGAGTATGATTTAAGATAATATTAATTAAGGTTTTAGAAATTTTATAAGAAGGAGCTGGAAAGAAAGAAACAACAGGTATGATAGGGTTACCTATTTTATGAAGTTTTATTAATGAATAAAGTTTTGGAGCTTGAGGGTTCATAAGTAATAATCTCCATTTGTCTCTATCTATAAACAAACTTTTACAATTTTGTATTATTGATTTTATTGAATTTTGAAAACTATTAGTAGGATCTGTATTTAATAAACTATAATTTATAGGTTTTAAAAAGTCTATAGTTTTTTGTATATAATCAGTTTTACTTATAGCTATAACAGTTTTTCCTTTATCTGATTTTGTGAAAGTAATGTCTTTCGATTTTGATTTAATTTGTTGTATCACAGCAAATTCTGGTTTTTATTTATCATTTAAAGATTCATTTTTTATGACATTCGAAGCAAGATGTTTTAGGTTTAAATTATTTGAGTTATCTTTAAGTGCTATTTCAGTCTCAACTCCTAAAATCTCCAAAGACGTTTTTATGTTATTATTGTTTAAATTATATTTGAAACCTTTTTCTAACAAGTTAGTTTCTTCACGAGAGAAATTAAGATTAGTCAAATTTATAAATTTGTTATAAAATTTGTGTTCTGAAAAGTTATTCTTTGTTGTTTTAGTTTTTGTTTTTTTAATATTTAGAAGTAAGTTGTTTAATTTATTTTTTTGAGTTAAATATTTTTTATGTATTATATCACTTACTTTTTCTCTTGTGTCTCTATCCAAAACTAAAAACTCTGTATAATGAAGTCTATATAAAAGTTCTGTATGGGTTACTTTGAGATAAACATTATAAACTCCTCGTTTGCGGAACTGGATTTTCTTCTCTACTGTTGGCTATTTTTTTAAACCTGTATTTACTGCTTGAACTGCTGCTTCACTTTTATTTCTTGTTTTAAGTTTCATGTACTTGGGGAAAATATTATTTTTAGAACATTGATCAAAAAACCATAAGTTTTGTGAACAGATATTAATTTCCGTAGAAATTTTGGTACTAGAATTAAAGAACATTACAATAGTTTCAATAAAAAGAAAACAGGCTCAAATTATGCAAATCACCTAATAGAATCTAATCATAATTTTGAAATGAATTTCAAATGTTACATAATGAAAACAAAGGGATAAAATTAAATCTTCTAGAATCTCTAGAAATAAAGAAACTTGAAAATTTAGACTGTTTACTGAACGACCAATGAGATTTAAACAATTCACCACTTTTAAATTTATTTATTGTATAATACCTATTTAGATTAACATAAAATTAGACCAGCTTTTACCTTTTTTATATTTGACAATTTCACTTTTATATCTACAATCTTTCTGATGAAGCTACAGTGTTAGCGAAACATGTTAAAACTTAATAAAAATTAGTGGAAATAAATTAATAAGTATACTAATTTACTTAAAAAAATCTTTTATTAGATCATGAATTTCCACCTAGTACAAGCCGATTCAATAAAAATGTTAAAAGAAGCTTCAATAAGCTTCCTTCAATAAGCTACTTGGTACTTCAAGTTCCTCCTGAAAATGAATATCTGTTCACAAAACTTATGGTTTTTTGATCAATGTTCTAAAAATAATATTTTCCCGAAGTACATGAAACTTAAAACAAGAAAAAAAAGTGAAGCAGCAGTGCCAGCAGTTCACTCAGTAAATACAGGTTTAAAAAAATTGCCAACAGTAGTGAAAAAAATCCAGTTCCGCAAAAGAGGAGTTAATGTTTATCTCAAACTAACCCATACAGAACTTTTATATAGACTTCATTATACAGAGTTCTTAGTTTTGGATAGAGACACAAGAGAAAAAGTAAGTGATATAATACATAAAAAATATTTAACTCAAAAAAATAAATTAAACAACTTACTTCTAAATAATAAAAAAACAAAAACTAAAATGTAAAACGGGGTAATTTTTCACTTTCATTTCATGTTGTTTGTTGTTCTTTACTTAGATATATGTTATATGTAGTATGTACGATTTTAGTTTTAATTTAGGTTTTTAATTTATTGTGAAAAAAAAAAAATGACAAGTTCTACGCCACAAAGGCACATGTATTGTAAATACAACAGAACAAGTAATATATTCTATTTCTATTTCTATAAAACAAAGAATAACTTTTCAGAACACAAATTTATAAATTTGACTAATGTTAATTTCTCTCGTGAAGAAACTAACTTGTTAGAAAAAGGTTTCAAATATAATTTAAACAATAATATTATAAAAACGTCTTTGGAGATTTTAGGAGTTGAGACTGAAATAGCACTTAAAGATAACTCAAATAATTTGAACCTAAAACATCTTGCTTCGAATGTAATAAAAAATGAATCTTTAAATGATAATAAACAAACAAATTAAATCAAAATCGAAAGATATTACTTTCACAAAAGCAGATAAAGGAAATACTGTTATAGCTATAAGTAAAACTGATTATATACAAAAAACTATAGACTTTTTAAAACCTATAAATTATAGTTTATTAAATACAGATCCTACTAATAGTTTTCAAAATTCAATAGAATCAATAATACAAAATTGTAAAAGTTTGTTTATAGATAGAGACAAATGGAGATTATTACTTATGAACCTTCAAACTTTATTCATTAATAAAACTTCATAAAATAGGTAACCCTATCAGAACTATTGTTTCTTTCTTTTCAGCTCCTTATAAAATTTCTAAAACCTTAAGTAATATTATCTTAAACCATACTCTATTTTCTGCTAAATACTCTATAAAAAACACTTATGAACTAGTAGAAAAAATTAAACATATTACATTACCAAAAAACTCTAAATTTATTTCATTTGATTTTACCAATCTTTTTCCATGTATACCTATTGAAGACGTTATTAATCTTGTTGAAAAACTCTTAATTAAAAGTAATATAAATATTGTTAAGAAAGAAGAAATTATTATCGTTTTGAAAGAATGCCTTAGACAAAATTATTTTGAATTTGACAATAAAATATACACTAGCAAAGTTGGACTTATAATGGGAAATCCACTAAGTCCTATTTTATCTGAAATATTCATGGATTTTATTGAATCAAAAATTAACAAACATCTAATTTTTTTTTAAATTCTCTACTGGCATAGATATGTTGACGATATTCTAACCTCTTTTACTGGAACAGACAGACAATTAGATATTTTTATAGACTTTATTAATAAAATCCGGCCTAACATAAAATTTACCATAGAAAAAGAACTAAATAATTCAATAAATTTCCTAGATTTAACAATCAAAAACATAAACGAAAAACATGAATTTTCTATATTTCATAAACCTACTCATACTGAAACAGTTATACACAATACATCTTGTCATCCTATCCAACACAAATTAGCTGCTTTTAACAGTATCATGTGCATATGTTGCAGCAGTCATGTGAAGCAATTAAAATTGCAGTATATTCATATGAACAATAAATAAAGCCATCATACCAAATTTCAGCGCTGTGCGACAATTTGAATTTTTTGTGACTTTTTGATAAATTCTGCGCGACGTGTTCAGGCCAATAAGTCATTGAGTAATTAACGAAAAAAAAATCCGCTGGGGCATTATGACAGGAATAAATGGGCTGCCGATTGTTAAAAACTGTCACCCAATATTTGGCCCCGTTTAGAAATTACAGTGAATAAAAAAAAGGGGTAGTTTTCGATGTAATTTACAACTTCCTCGCAGATTAGGCAAGTCCGTGCTCGCTTAATTTTCAAGCAAAAAATTCGAAAAAAAAGCATTAGAGAGTGCATTTCATTAGCAATAATGTGGTGTTTGAAAAATTGAAATCGGATTATGCATTCGGCCGCTGTTGCATCAAATGCACGGGAACAGGTAAAACGTTGATTCAGTGACCTTGAATAAAAACATGCTACTATTCAAGACGCTGCAGAAAAAAAACTATAGAAAATAGAGGGGTGCTGTGGCTGAGTTTTTTATAGCAAAAAACTTCAGCTACAACAATCATTTGAAACTTTTTGCTATTGGACCATCCCTTTGAGCAGCGTTCTCCATAAACCGCAAATTACCCCTAAAAACCACCCCTAACTAAAAACCCTATGGAAGTACAAGGTCGCAAACTTAATATGTTATTAAGCACATGAAAATGTACCGATCCCCCTCAAAAAATGTTAACTTCTAATTATGTTGAGGTAAACCCTCTTTTCAGATCCCCGTTTCTTGGACTATTATATGAACACCTAGAAATAATAATACGACTTACTCGTTCAAGATCGTCATTGCGTTCGGTATAGTTAAAACCATCCAAAAACGATGACGTAGCTGAAAAATCCAAGGACGTGTTGTATCTGCCCCCGCTTCCTGTTCTGCGATTAGACAAAATACTTTTTGGTTTATCCATTTTGCCACTACAGGTCGCTCTCAATAGAATATCATTCTGCGCGCTGGTCAGTCGCTGGTCAACATAGACTGAGCCGGAACGTCTGCGCAGCGCGGCGTCCACCAACGCGTCAGTTGCGGTACGTGGAGGAATCACACCCGATGTGACGTCACGATCATTCTTCACCTGTTTTTGCCATGAAAAAGGAATAGTATAATAAAAAGGTGTTATGAAGAGATATAGAAGCATTTTTTACAGCAATAGAAAAAATTGAGTAATAAAAAAGATACTAAAACATTTTTTTTGTGTAGCTTTTTACAGCATGTAGGCCTATTATTACTTACAAACAATTCAATATCAATATTCTGAATATCGGTTTGTACGGATTTACTGTCAAAAATCGTAATTTGTTCTGTGTTGGTACTCCTGCTACTACTACTACTAGGAATCTTATTGGCCAAATTGTCCTGGAAATGTCATTGAAAGCTGCGCTCTGATTGGTTGAAAACAAAATAAAAATCACTTACCGAATTATCCCCAAGTAGTTGCTTCCTGCTCGTTGTCAGGAAGCCTCCCCCTCGGTCCGTATTGGCGTCATACTCCCCCAGGCCTGAGTGGGGCGCCGCCCTCAGACGTGAGGGGCGACGCAAATGCGGAGGCGCGTACTCGCCACGACGCAACGTTGGCAACAGAGACCCGTAGGTGGCCCCGCGCCCCAACACACCGATCCCCGTTGATTCATCCTGTTCAAAAAAATGAGGCCTAATAACTCTCAACTATTTTTATCCATTTGTTTATATGTTTTCTTATTTACATGCACACTGAGAAGTAAGAACCTTCAACATAAAATAAGATAAAATAAGCAAGAAAATATATTCTCTATTTCAATCAACATTTTATCTGGTTTGAATCAAGTCAAAAATGTCATATTTACGATAAACGATACGTTCTTTATAATCCATTGAATTCCCCATGAGATTCCACAGAAAAAAAAAAAGAAAAAAACAAAAAATGCTAAATCTTGCCTTGAGACTACCAAAATGATGCAAGAGATGCAACTCCTGTGCTGTGCTTCCAAGAAAGGACACGAGACACGTTCTTGAGAAGAAATGAAATAGTTCTTGTCTGGTTTTCCCTGGAAGAGAATTTCAGTAGATATCGCGGTCCTTTTTCTATAGCTGAATCGGGAGATGATTGCTATGGACTATTTTTCAAGGAGGCCAAAATTAGTTCCAATCTACAATCAAGAAGCGGTTACAGTTGCTGAACGATGACTGGGAAACATAATCGCAAGTCACGAGGTACCTGAATCCACTGGCTACAGACCGGTGCCCAGTGTCAAATCACCACCCTTCGGGCCCAAAACTTTCATTATAGTTGGAGTTGCTTGAAGCACTTTACCATTGTTAAATAAAAACCGCCCGTCTGCCAGCGATGGCTGGTAGCCCGCTCCCGTGGCCGCCCACCTTCTCAAACCAACGATTTTCCAAATTTTAATATTGCTAGTTTAATAATACTAACGATTTTTCTAATTTTAATTTCAATAATTTATCTATTAATAATAATAATTCTAGCTTAGCTTTATAAATAACGAGATGGCTGACGCTTTGAGATCAACTGTCACTCTTTTAAAAACTTTTGATGGTACCCCATCACATTTAGAAGCTTTTGTTAAACAAATTGATATTTTTCATAATAAATATTTTAATAATGACATCTCACAACAAGAATATGTCACTCTTGCTATTTTTGAGCAATACTGTAAAGCCTCCATAACTCTTTTGTTAATGAAAATAATTCATTTCCGTAAAGACCTTTTGGAAACACTTTTTCAAGCAGAATTCAGTGACGTTCTCAGTTTTTTTCTGTCTGGCTTCGATTTCGAGATATTGACCAAAATCAGATTTTTTCAATAGGACATCCTATCTATTAACAGTTCATTAGAAAGCTATGCTTTCGCTGATTTCACTGATATAAGGTTCGATAGGTTTATCTCTAACAGTTTTCGAGAAAAAAAATTATTTCGGTTTTTGTCATAAGAAACAATGTGTTGGAAAAGAACTTTATCTCTGTAAGGAAACTGAGAAAGGTCTCTTTCTTACACATTGTTTCGTATGACAAAAACCAAAATATTTTTTTTTCTCGAAAACTGTTAGAGATAAACCTATCGAACTTTATATCATTGAAATCAGCGAAAGCATAGCTTTCTAATGAACTATTAATATTGAAAAAAATCGGATTTTGGTCAATATCTCGAAATCGAAGCCAGACAGAAAAAAACTGAGAACGTCACTGAATTCTGCTTGAAAAAGTGCTTCCAAAAGGTCTTTACGGAAATGGATTATTTTCATAAACAAAAAAGTTATGGAGGCTTTACAGTATTGCTCAAAATCGAGAATCGCCCTCTAGCGCCTAAACGGTTGAAGATATTAAAATGCGGTTTGCACCAATCAAAATTTTATGGAATTTGAGCCTCAGAGAGGGGGGTCTTTTTTTTTCTATCTCTAAAAATAAAGGGTGTTACCATAAGAAAGTGTCCAATTTGGACCACCCTGTACATTGTTCCTTATACAATCAGTCACATCACAATAACTAACAATCGTGACAAAATCAGTCATAGTCACAATCATTACACAATTGTACACAAACACTCACAATCTCAGCAAATTTCCTCAAGGTGGCAACAGCCCCCGCTGTTTCTTGGGTTGCCTATCTTTTGAAAAAGGTCTTGCTATGGAATGGATTATTTCCCAAAAATAAAATAACCATGCTGAAAATTGAAAAAAATACCTCCATAAATCATTAGATAATGACTTTTTTATTGCACCTAAAAATAAAAAGATGTGCCAAAATTCAGTTTTCTTTAAAGGCTTAAACACTTTTAATAATTTGCCAGAGTGCCTAAAAAATTGTACTTCACTATTGACATTTAAATCAAAACTCAAAATCTTCCTTCTGAAGAGGTGCAGGGTGTTGTCATAAAGTTCCATAGTTGCACAGTGTGTTATCTGGTGTTGCTTGTCCCTGTTTAGTTTTTAGGATCATGTATGTAGTTATAGAATGTTTTAGTGTGTAAGTTTTATTGTAAAGTATAGGAATATTATATATTTATTGATAGTATAGAAGTATACAAACATTTTAAAGATTGTAAAACCAAAATCGATTAGCTGTACTTTTTTTTGGTAAATAAAGAATTTAATAATAATAATAATAATTGATCAAAGAATGTTTATGCCAAATTTGAACCAATTCTGATAACTTCAAAACGATTTATGAAAATTGGTTTGAAATTACTTTATTTTTACTTAATATACAATCAGTACGAAATAAAACAAATGAACTCTATGTCTTACTTGAAAATTTAAATATGCCTACATTTGTCCTTTCAACAGAACACTAGCTAGAGGAGTTGTGCTATGTTCCGGATTACAAAATGATTGCCAAATATGGGAAGGGTTATGGAGGCACAGCAATCCTTCGTCACAACAGCAGGGAGATTCTAAAATCACGATTCGACACACGACTCGACAACGAGACGCAACTCGATACCGGCCCTGTCGTCTCGAAAGGTATGATTCCAATGAGATTCCAACCTAAGATCGTCGGAAAAATCGTCTCGTTGTCGAGTCCTGTGTCGAAACGTGATTTTAGAATTCCCGGCCAGCTTTTCAATGACACACGAGATCGAGTGCCTTGACACATGCAATGATTTAATTATAAATAACAAATTTGAGTTTTAACTGATTTTTGTAAGAAAACTTAATATTTACATAATATGCGCATACAGGCCTCCATCCGGAAACCCAACAATGTTTTTGGAAGGTCTCGAGGGTCTTTTACTAAAATTCCCACTTTCATCAAAAATAATTCTTGTAGGCGATCTTAATATCGACTGGGATGATGCGGAATCAAGAGATACCAAAGCTTTAATAAGTCTATTACACTCATTTAATTTAAAAGAATTCCTGAACGAGCCAAAACACATCACCAGTCATTCAGAAACGATTGTTTATATGTGCGGTAACTTTGATTTTGGGTATTTAAATTGTGAAGTTATACCCTCAGGTCTTTCAAACCATGAAGCCTTGGCGGCAGAATTCACGTTGTTTGGTGAAGAAGGTACCCAAAAAATCTCTGGTAAAATGCAGAATATACAGTAAAAGAAACTTTGATACCCTCAGGAGTTTGACAAACCGTGTAAACTGGAGCCAGTGTTTGAATACAATACAAAGCCTTCAGATATGTGTTACAAGAATTCTTAATAAAAGCTTTCCTTTGCGAAAAATAAAAGCCAAAAAAAAAAAATAAAAAATATGGGTTACTAAAGGTATCAAGATCTCTTCAAAAAACTTAAGCTACCTGCATACTCTAAGAAAGTTCACCGACTGTCAGTCTTTCATACAGTACTTCAATAAGTACAGAACCATATACAGTGTAGTTATTTGAGTGTGCAACATATGGGATTTTTTTTAGTAATAGCACAGAAAGGCCAAAAGTTGGTGCATGTCTGATAAGCATATTAGGTGCACTCAGAATGGTTGCAAGTCAAACAGCATACAGGGTAGCTCAAAAAATATCAAAATTCTACTGTAAAGTACCGTTGTTTCAGAAAATTCAGCATAATCCTGGTATTCTTTCGATCTGAACAAACTGATTGTGATCACATCAGGTTTGTTCACAAAGCGTCAAAAAAACAGCTGGGGCCAATGAAATCGTTTTAAAACCGGATAAAAATTGTTTGAAACAAACCTCAAGTGACTTCGATCAGTTTGTTCAGATCGAAAGAATACGCCTAATGTTATTGAAAAAAGTTGTTTGGAATTAAAAGTTATGCCTAAATACCAAAACATGGCCTCCTAGGTTTTTTTTTATTTTTTTTCGAAAAAAAAAATTAATAATTTCTGTATTTTTTTTATTTTTTATTTCCGCCCTTAATAATTTCAAAAATTAATTAAAATCAAATCCACTTTACATAACTTTGTTCAAATTCAAGCATATTTGTAAAATTAACTTTTTATGATGATGAATGATTAACTTAGATTTATAATTTTTTATGGAATCACAAAGTTCATGTGTGTGGCAATGATATTCAACACAACTTTAAAATGTCGCAATTTTTTTTTAACAAGTTAAAACATTACTTATGATAATATGCATATTAAAAAAACTCTCCTTAAAACTCTACCATTTTGCTGAATTTTCTAAAATAAGGGTACTCTATAGTACAATTTTGATATTGTTTGAGCTACCCTGTATGCTGTTTGACTTGCAACCATTCTAAGAGCACCTAATATGATTAGCAGACATACACCAACTTTTGACCTTGTTTGTATTTGGGTTGTGCTATTCCTAAAAAAAAATGTTGCACACTTAAATAACCACACTGTATAGACAGGTTATTATTGGGGCAAAAAAAAATCTACTACAGGAGGCGAACCAACAAGGCAGAGAACTAAAGCAGAGAATACTGGAAATTAATTAACGAATTTAGAGGCAAAAAAAGAAAAATCCAAAAGTTTTGTTGATGTTGAGCCTGACAAACTCAATACTTTCTACATAAAAATTGCAGGAAAGCTGTCAGATGATCTAAATTCTAACACTCACCCTTTAGATTATCTCCAGCCATTATCTTACACAGAAAACTTCAGTTTCAAAACAAGAAACAAATTAGTATTCTTCGCTTCGAGAAGCGATAATATTTATATCTAAAGGGGGGGGGGGGCAGTTCAGATCCATCGAATTA